GGAGAAAAGGTGGCGGAACTCAAACCTGGCCACGCCCTCATCAAACCCTAGGACCGCCCCTTTAGAGAACAGGAATGCAAGTAAAATTTGGGAGGGGCTATTTCCGGTGTGGGAGGGGCTATTTCCGGTGCGGCCGGCCCGGAAAAAGGTGCCGGAACGCGGTTCCGCCGCGTTCCGGCTGAAAAAAAGCCCTGGGTGGCATCAATAACTCTCTAAAAGAATGCAAATGACCAGCTGTCTGCAAGGAGTATAAATTTTTCCATTCCCCACCATCCAGTCAGAACTGGAGAAGCTTCTTGGATGAGAAGCAAAACGTCTTCAAAGAGAAAAAAGAAAGTCCAGTTGCCTCATGAAAAAGCACCTTTGGAACAACCATGACCTGGATGACTAAGAATCTCCATAGACATTTCTAGCTTCTGACTTAGGCACTTCTACACTGTCACTGCTTCTATCCTCCAGTCCCATGAGAGCATTTTGAAGATAATAAATGATAGTTTTCTCTTCTGCCAACTTCTCAATGCTGAGGGGGGAGGGCTATCAGTTCTTTAGTTGCTGGAGGTCTCAAAGAACCAAGTCTTCCCTCACTTCCACTCCTTAGAAAAATAGCTGGGAAGTTCATTGGGGCAGAGTTGGTAAAAGTGTGGAAACCGACCATCCATAATGTCTCATAGTCCTTCAAAGAAAAGACTTAACTTTATTGTGGTTTCAAATACACTGCAGCTAAGCCAGAATATATATCAATTGGACTTGTGTTTTTTTTTAAACATAGCCTTTTTGCTAATACCACAAAGACCCAAAGCTGCTTTCACACCGGCCTTGAATCAGGCTGTAAGAAAAGTATTGCTGGCGTTGGCATTTTCTGTAGTGCAGTTGCAGAGTCAGAATCTTGTTTCTTTGCTGTGTCACACTACAAGGTGTAATTCAGCTAGAATCTGTGCATTAGCAGCCATACTGCATGATAAAATAGAAACCACCATAACTCACCACCATCCTTACCATAGGCCATAGAACTTTACCCATTACAGTTGCAAGTGTGAAAAACGATCATACCTCATTTTTTTAAGTGCCATTGTTGCTTCAAGCAGTCACTAGATAAATGCTTGTAAATCAAGGTCTACCTATGTGTCTTTTTAATAGATAAAGCAGGCTTCCCTAACCTGGGGCTTCCCATTTATTCTGACCTGTTATTTCCAGAATTCTAAGTCACCCAGGCCATTCTTTTCTGGACTTTTGAAGGGGGTTATCCCAAATATCTGAGTGTTACAGGCAACAAAAAGCTATTTGTATGCTTATAGATCAGGAGTCTTCAAACTTGACCCTTTTATGACTTGTGGACTTCAACTCCCAGAATTCCTCAGCCAGCATGCCTGGCTGAAGAATTCTGGGAATTGAAGTCCACAAGTCATAAAAGGGCCAAGTTTGAAGAGCCCTGTTATAGATAGATAGATGTGTGTATATAGCATATTTATTGATCAAATGCCTATCCAAGTTACTCTGGGCGGTTTACAAATCCAAACCACAAGGCCTTATAAAAGAGACATAATTAGAGTGAAGAACAGAATAAAATTAGAGTTTAAAAGGAGAGTTATAAGGCAGAGTGGTAACCCTCACGTTACCAACCACCACCACCCTAGGTTGGGTGCCATTCTTGAATCTCCAAGCCAATTGACAGAAGCAATGCCAGAAGGCCAAAAGATCATGGATCAATCTCACCTCTGAGAACAAAATATTTCATAGGATGAGGGCAGCAGCAGAGAAGGGTGTCTCCATTGTTATGGCATGGGGGGGAAGACTATTTCATGGATGTCTGTGTTTTGGCTTTGTTTTAGGTCAGAAGGCTTTAGGAAAGTCCCGTATCACTACTATGAACCTGGGAGGAGTGAATGTGATGAGTACGTCCTTCATGAAAATGCACCCTATGGAGGCCACAGGTTCATCACAGAAAAGAAAGTATTTGCTGAATGGGCTAAGAAACATACAATAACATTTACACACCCTAATTGGACCTTGTCTTGATGCTGGTTGTCACAGACTTCCACAACATAGGCCCTGGATTTAAATGACAATCCTCCTTAGGTGATAGTGCAGAAAGTGATGGTTCTGCTGTGTGCTGTTTGTGTGTCTGTGTGTGCTCGGCTGTGGAAGATTCTTACTCGGTCTCATTTTAACTGGATTTTTTTTTTAGAAGTTTGACATGGCAACAGCTTATTTGCTAGAGCAGGGTTCTTCAAACTTGGCCCTTGGCATTCTGGCTGAGGAATTCTGGGAGTTGAAGTCCACAAGTCATAAAAGGGCCAAGTTTGAAGACCCCTGTGCTAGAACAGTGTTTCTCAATCTTGATAACTTTTAAGATGTGTGAACTTCAACTCCCAGAATTCTCCAGCAGGCATACCAGCAAAGGAATTCTGGGAATTGAAGTCCACACATTTTAAAGTTGCCAAGGTTGAGAAATTTTGTGCTAGAAGATGAAGTTCTGCTAGGAGGGGAAAACACTGCTCTGGATTTTGTGGATAATGTCTCTAGTACTTGAATTTAAATGATAAATGTTACTATTAAAGCAACCCATCGTTTGGGGCAGTAATAGCCAGACAAATCAGTCTTGTAACTATACAGTTTGCATGGCTGAAGATTTATTGCAAATGAGCCACTTAGAGATGTGCTAAGAAGATCCTGATTGCTCTTGATTTCTAGAAGAGGACTGAGTAAGTCTGAAGCTCAGAGACAATCCATATGGCAGAATGCCTCCATAACCTCCAGGTATTCTGACATGGTCTCAATTTTCTCAGCATCTATTTATTTAAGTTATATCGCCTTTTTGGAGCACAACTAAGAGTGGTGTCTAAGTCCAGGTAATATAGTTTTGGGCAATGACATTTCTTGTGATCTTGAGCAGTTCTCAGTTCTCGAACACCTACCTCACAAGGTGTTGTGAAGAGAAATCAATGCAACTACAGTACAATGATTTTTTTTTAATCAATCAATATGCTTATTTATATTTTTATATAAGTTCATGGATTCTTGACACATATTCCTCCTTATCTCCTATTTAAGAATACTAAACCCATGTGTATGAAATGATTTCTTTGAAACTCTATAGCGACATTCCAACTCCAAAAGCTCAGTGTGGATTAATTTCTTCAAAAGATTCTTTTTCACATATATTTTTTTCCTTTTGATGGTAAGAGAGCCTGGAATGCTTAATAACTGCCCATGTGTAATTGAAGTGTTGCACGCCTTGTTTTATCCATGCCATAGAGACCATGCAAAGCATTCGATCATTTAAATTCCATTTTACTTAGAAAGATTTATTACAGAGATATGAGATCTAAAAAGAAGGAAAGAAAGAAGTGACAGACATTATACCAAAATTTCACTCTATTTTTAAGTTGAGGAACCATTTCAATTTATACCAGAAGTGTGTGTGTGTGTGTGTGTGTGTGTAAAACCGTCTAAATGACTTCAAGTTCCATATCATTTCAAAAAGTTCCTTAAAAATCTGCAAAACACTTGGATGTCCTTCCTGCAATACTGTAATCATACTGCTAAAACTTGAAAAAAAAAGATTTATTGATCATTTTTTGTATTAAATGCCCAAAGAGGCTAAGTATTGAATTCATCCCACATTTTGTATTGCTTTGCTGAATCATGAAAAGGCAATAGCAAAGTCATATTTTTTTACATATTAAAATGTTTGTATAAGGACTGATTTTTGTATTGTATATTTGTATATGAAGGTCTATAAGTCCTATATAGTCCCGTTACCACTGTTACTAAGTGCCATGCTGCTACATATTGTGTGGTTGTGTACTTTGACCCAAGGATAGCTATCTTCTGCTTCAGTATCCAAAGGTAAATTGTTCACTCTCATCCTGGGAAATTTTGGTAACACCTAATAAGTTACCACACATCTCTGTTTTATTTAGAAGCTTGTCACTACCTCTAAGAAAACACAAAGTTGTGTCAGATGGTTCAGCAGTCGAGGTTACAACAGAATGTGTGTATGGAAAATATCATTTACCATCAGTATATTCTAGGGCTCTGCATTTTTACTATTCTTCTGTTGATTCCAGTTTTTTCCCCGTGACTATATTATTACTTCTGGTTTGTTTGAATTGTCTTCATATGCTAATGTATATATCTTTTTTGAAAGTCTAATATTTCTCTTCTTTATAGAACTTCATATGCATTGTACTTGGTAGGAATAGCATGATATGAATGCTATTGAGTTATTAAAGTGGGATTTAGGAATTTATGACTACATGTACAATACCCACATATATCCATTTTATACTAACTCTATAATACAGTTTCCTTTCAGAAAATTCTCCTAGATTCAACAGTGTCAAGAACACTTGATTCCTAGACATCCTTGGTATTTCTTGGAATTACATGATCAAATTAAATCACTGAGGAGTCTATAGGGCAGGGGTCTCCAAGCCGTTAGCTGCAGCCCACTACTGGGCCATGGTCTGCTGGCCACTGGGCCATGAGTGGCTAGCCAGTGCACTCGCATGTGTGCACGCACTACCCCCCACTCGTGTGAGTGTTGCCCTGAGCTTCACACAGACACTAGAGGCCCTGTTTGTATCGTGTGGACACTAGCGTCGTCCCGAGCATCACGTGGGCACTAACATCCTGTTTGTGGTGTACACTTGGTCACGGCCCTGTTTGCGGTGCTCGTATGCTCACGGTCCCATTTTTAAATGCATGCATAAAGGTGCCTGCCCCTCCCTTTCCCTCAGAAAGTTGGGGACCTCTGCTATAGGGTATATATTCACAGATAAGAACCAACCAAAGTGGGAGCTGAAAGTTTTAATACTAAATCAAGAGTATGGTCATTGGTATATCTAAAAGAATGGAAGATAGAAGAAACTTGGTTGTCGTTTAACTGTTCCCTTGATTGTGTTGTACAGGTTTCTTTGATCTTAATAGTTTCCGGGTTTGCCATTTGGGATAAATCAGAAGTTGGCGATTTGAATTTGCTGCCCTTGAGCTAATTCCAAACTTTTCTCTGAGCAATCAATTCTTTGTCTTTGTAAAAAGAATAGTTTGTTATTCCTTAGAGGTGAAGAGGAAAAAAAAGCAGGAGAAGGTAAGACCAAAAAGAAATAAAATAAAATAACGGGGCATAACAAAGAAAAAGAAAGTAGCATCCATGCCATATTTGGCCCTGGGTCCATAATCCATCATCCTTTGCTTTTTCCATTGCTAGCTCACATTATCTATGATGGAATAAAACCTTCAATAGAAATGTACCCACAACATACGAATTGATTTTCCACATAAACACTACAGTAAGAATTGAGTGATGTGCCCTGCAGTGTTTTGGATTCAATTAGAGGTAGTCTTCGACTTATAACTATTTGTTTAGTGACCAGCAGTACTGAAGAAAGTAACTTAGGACTGGTTTTCAGCTTACAATCATTGCAGCATTCCCATGGTCACATGGTCAAAATTTGGACGCTTGGCAACTGGCATGTATTTGTGACGGTTGCACTGTCCTGCGGTCATGTGATCACCGTAGGTAACCTTCCCATCTGGCTTCTGACAAGCAAAGGCAATGGGAGAAGCCATATTCACTTAACAACCATATGATTTACTTAGCAGCCTAAAAAGTTATAAAATGGGGCACAACTCACTAAACAACTGTCTTGCTTAGCAATAGAAATTTTGGTCTTCATTGTGGTTGCAAGTCAAGGACTACCTGTATACAGTATTTGAGTAATATTTGCATTAATAGCCACATACTATTCAATTAACCTTTTGTCTTAGCACCCTCTGTACTATGGTACAATCATTTTATTGGATAAAATATTTTTTTCTTTATCATGATCTTAAGCATCTTAAACAATTATATGCCAGCATAACTGAAGGACCAATTAATGAGAACATTTTCTTATGTTGGTTTTCTAGATTTTCACATCTTATACCTTTCAAGATTGCCACTCAAGTGTGGATTTAAGGATGGGGCTGGAAATTATTATGTTCCTAGCATAATTTAACTAATTATACCTGGCATTTATACTCACATATTCTAAGAGTGAACTTGTTCCTCCAAAGTATCCAGTTTACTAAAGACTATAATACCTGTCATAAAAGCTGCCAAAAATATTGATTTAGTAACTGGTAGTAATGATTAAGAATCCACTTTAATTCCAATTGAGTATAGGAATTGACTTCCAAGTAACTACATTGGACTCAAAAGCTAGCTTTACAACTGTAAGCTTTCCTGACTGAAAGTAGGTTTCAGTGAAACTTACAATAGTTAAATACTACAGAAGTTATATTTAAGTTGCACATAACTTCACTGAATTTAATCTGATTCCACACGAAAAACAGATTCTAAAAACCCATGCCAACTATCACCAATTATCATAGAAAGACCTAAGAGAATAACTTAGATACCAAGTTATTTGGTATTAGCTACTTCACAATCCAGAGCAGCATGTTACATAAATACGATATATGTTGCACTGAGAGAGATTTCAATCATACTTTGCAACTTCTTTTCTTCGGTTGTAATAAATTAAGAAAGCTTTAATAGTCCACTTATTATGCTCTCTTTTTGGAATGGAGATGAAGAATATGTTTAGGAAGTTAGAAAGGTAAAAACTCAATAATTTAGCCAAATAAGAAACCCAAACTAATAAAAAAAACACGAGGAAATGCCTTTTCTTCATTCATGAGATGTCTGAAAATGATTTGGTGAATAGCTTGAGATGCTTGAAAGAACAATTTAGCCGTGCGAGTGCAAGTTTGGATTTTAAAAATGCCATTGGAGAAATTGAAAATTGAAATATAGGAACAAGAAAATCATAGGAGAAAGATAGTATCTTGACTGAGCTTACATGAACACATGCATACAGTTTTGGAGGGATGATATTGAAGTAATTTGCCAATGTCGTCTTCTGTGATTTTAAAAAAAAAACATAACTACTAGGATTTTAATATGGAAATACAGTGGGAAATTTCTTAGCTCAACCTAAGACCTATTAAAATAACTGATAAATTTGTGG